GGGTGTGAGTGCGCGCGTGTGTGTATACAATACTCTTTTCTTTCTGCCTAGATGAGGATGCAGCTCCTGGAGAACTACGTCAAGGATCTGAACGAGCAGAACGAAATGCTCATACAGATGGTGGAGGAAACCTCGCAGATCAGGGTAACTCTCTGCCTGTCTGTCTGTTTGTAAGTCTGTCTGTCTGCCTATCTGTCTGTTGTCTCTGCCTGTTCTATCTGTCTGTCTCGCCTTTCCTGTCTTTTCGTCTATTTTCGTTGTATCTGCTCAATTCCAGAAAGGACAAAGTTGATAAATAGATAAATAAATAAATCAATAAATAATTAAATACATAGATAAATAAATAAATACATGAATAAATAAATAAAACACCACCTATTCACCCCCTTTCCCCCCGAAAAACCCCCAACAACAAAAACCCACACACTCACAATGAATCTCAGACTGACGTGCTTGAGCGTGGGTCCTTCTGTAGAATTGTCAAGTCTCTAGACCCTTTCGGCTGGGTCTTATACAATAGCAGTAAAGTAAAGTTGTTCCCGCATCCGATCCGGACATTGGGGATGGCCTTGTTAGTGATACAACTTCCTGGGCCTCCGGCATATATTGTGGTAGGGTGGCCAGTGCCTTCACTTTCCCAACACGAAGCCAGGTACCCATTACTGCTGGGTGGGCAGGAGGAGGCTAAAAAAATAGCAGTAGGATGTTAAATTGGGAGATCCCGCCTCTTAAATAACCCAAATAGTGTTGACATGGGCGTGAACCCATACGTTCTTATACTAACCGTTCTCTGGCCGTCTAGGCGTGAACCCATACTCTTACTTTATAGGACGAGCTCAAGTGTCGGGAATCGCAGAAGGCCGAGCAGCTACAGCGACTCAAGAGCTGCCTGACAGAGTCGGAGTGTGAGATCGACTGCCTGCGGGACTCCAAGGCAGACCTGGCCTGTGAACTCTCCAACCTCAACTCGGAGCTGGCCCGAGTCACACGGCGCGCAGAGGAGGCCGAGAAAGATGTGGGCTGTCTGTCTGTCTGTCTGTCTGTCTGTCTGTCTGTCTGTCTGTCTGTCTGTCTGTCTAGCTGTCTGTCTATATGTCTGTCTGTCTGTCTGTCTGTCTGTCTGTCTGTCTGTTAGTCTGTCTGTCTGTCTGCTTGCATACGTGCCTGCCTGCCTGCTTGCCTGTCCGTCTTTTTCTCTTTCCTTCTCTTCTTCTCCCACTCTCAATCTCTCTCTCTCTAAATGTCTATTTATCTCTCTGCCCCCCCCCCCCCACACACACACCACGACGAACACACCAGCACACCCACCCACCTACAACATCTCCCTCATATATATATGTTTGTGTGTATCTTTGTATGGTTGTTTGTATACCGGCGTTTGTGGTATAATGGTTAGAATCGGCCCTGTTTTAGGTAGAAGGCCGTGTGTGGATTTTTCTTGTTAATGAGTATCCCCATCTATTTGCTAGGACGTTGTATCTCTCTCGGCCGAATTCGCTTTGAAAGGCAGGGTCGAATTAGCCTGCTTCCTTGGTGATGTGGATTAGATCTATGTCGATTACAACGCAAACCACTTACAGTGATAATCATGGATAGTTTATTTGTTTGGTTGTTGTTCGTGTCGTAAGTTTGTTTGTATTTTCTGTTCTTCTATTTGTTTTAAGGCTTACTTATTTGTTTATTTTCTTTGTCTCTTATGTCGTCGGTCCACATGTCTTAAAAGAGATATTAGACTGAAATATGTGCAATCAATCCACCCCAACCCCTCGTCTCGGCTGCAAAATCAAACTGTCCACATTTCCTGTCGAAATGTATCAAAAAGGGTTATTTTCCCGGAAAATCAATCGAGCACGGTGATGAAAAACTAGCTTTTTTTCCCTTCTCCGTGAAAATCGCAATCCCAGCATGGCCAACGTTCGCCAGTTTCTGACGATGGCTAAATGCATATCTGCAGGGGAGAAGGTTTATTCTTATAACTGAGAGAAATAGAAGAAATCAGGGTTGAAATGAGTTGTGGCTTCTGTCACGGCTAACGAGACCAATCCTGGCAGAGAAAAGTTTGCCTCATTTTGAGCATTTCAAAGCTTTCTTTCCACTCGTGGATGTGTGCAGCTTCAATTAAACTATTCAAACTGGTGCCAGCTGGATAATACCGTTTTATTATTGTTTGAACCCAAACGCACGAACTGTTGATAAATTAATATTGAGTGTGGTTGGATTGCAGGAGCTCTGGTGTGGTTTGCTCCTTCTTGCCTATCAAACATCCGTCGTCCACATCTTTCAACCTTATTTTCTTTGTTTGTTGTTATCTTGATCTCCCGTAACACCTCTAATATTCAGCACTTAGATATTCTCTTTTTGTGTTGCTAATCGCTACCTTGGAATTACAAAGTTCTAACTGACATTTTTGGCCATTTTTGAGTTACTAAGACCATGAGGTAAGAAAGCAGATGCTCTATCTGCTCTATAAAAATCGTAGGAATATTCGGAGCCGTTGTCAATGTATTCAAAGAAATGTATTGGAAAAACCTTGACATGTTGGAAAACTCAAAAGTTTTGACGTCAGATCTCTCAAAACTAGGTATTGAGCAGATAGAACTGTGTAATTCTGAGGTAGCAAAGTGCTGTAAAACTAAAAAAAAACCCAAAACAAACTTATTTTAAAAAAAAGGAGTAAAGTCGGTCTGCGCCACTTTGTACAGAACGAGTTGTTGAACAAGACACTGGCCGAGCAGGAGGCGGAAATCACCAAGTCTCACTTGGAGTTGGATCAGATGGACGGGGAGGTGACCGGAGTCAACGACGAAGTGGAGTGTCTCAGGGACAAGTACGATATGTGGCTACCTCAGAATTGCAAGGCTCTATCAGCTCAGTACCTAGTTTTGAGAAATTTGGAGTCAAATATTTAGAGTTTCACAATATTTCAAGGGTCTTCGAATGCAATTCTTCGAACATCTTGATAATGACTCAGAAAAATACCGCACGATTTTGATAGAGCAGATCAAGCATTAATCTGATCTCACGGTTTTGGTAATTCAGAACGGCCAAAAATGTCTGATGGAACTTTGTAATTCTATTCTGAGGTAGCGATATCACTACGCTTGTGTGTGTATGTGTGTGTGTGTGTGTGTGTGTGTGTGTGTGTGT